GCTGCCTGAAGTTAAAACATGCTGAAGCAGAGGACAGCTCATATTGCCTGATACAATACTGGTTATTTTTTAGACAGGCTGGGGCAATTTGATATGGATAATTACATGTTTTGAATAGGTAAAAACATGAGAGCTACCACAGAAGATTCAGATGTTTGTGGGCAGAGATTCAAAACTACAAAACCATATCCAGCCAGCCAGCAAAGGAGGAATCAAACATCCCACTGTATCTGCTGGCACTCAGGAATGACTGTTTCTAGTTCCTTATAGAATTCTAGTCAAAGGGAGATATGGTAGATCTGCAGCCACTCATGAAAGGTGTCATGAAACTTCTTGGAGACCTCCTAGAGGGAAGTAAAGGTAAAGCAGTCTGAGAAAAATAAGTAGCCATTATAGAATAAAGGCCACAAAATTTCTGCTCCCACTGAGATGGTCAAATACAACTTGTCTGGCAGACAGCACTGAGCTGCATATTGCATTATGCTATGCTTACAGAAAATATTTTACTGCATTTAGTACCGCTCCTASAATTGGTAAATATGGGAACAGATCTAAATGATGGTTTCATTAAAAGCAGGGGGATACCATGTCTGACCACTGATTGYTTTTCCCTCCTGCTAATGATGAGTGTAGTACCAGTGTGTTAATCTTCTAACCCTTCAGGGTGACCAAGCAGCTGCAGCAGCTGCCTCTGGCCAGCTCTGTGCACTCAGCAGGATGCCACATGGTATGGAATGTCCCTTTGGCCAGCTTGGGGCAACTGTCCCAGCTGTGCAGCCTCCCAGCTTCTTGTGTCCCTCCAGCCTTCTTGCTGGCAGGGCATGAGAAGCTGAGAAGTCCTTGACTTGGAATAAACACTGTTTAACAACAACTAGAAATATCAGTGTGGTATCAACATGATTCTCATATTAAATCCRAAACACAGCATCATACCAGGTAYTATTCCAGCCAAAACCAGGACAGTTATGAAGTTTGTAAATCGGTTATTAACCTCAGTATCATAAGCACAGTGCTTAATACAACTAATAACGAGAGAAACAATTAATGAGACAATTCAGAGGAATTAAAGGAAACATTCAATAGTCGACTGACAAAATTTTCTAGCTGGGAGCAACATAATTATCTGATGACATGAAAAAAGAGAGATGGAAAGAGAAAGTGAATATATAGTCTTTCATCTAGATATCACTAAAAATGCTTTTAAAAAAAAATCTAATAATTACACCAGTAACTGAAACCAAATTTCTTACACTATTGAAAATACATAAAGAAAGATTAGAATCAGAATTAGAATTTGCAGTCACATTACTGCTCTCAAAACAGCTGCCATCTCCTATTCTCAGTAGAGATGAACCTAATTGTACCTTGTTACGATTCCTATTTTCAAAATGGCTATTTCCTCATGTAATTTCCAAGTGACAGAAGTCAAGTTGATCCTGAGATGATAATCTCCCCTAATGTTTCAGAAATTGTGATGGACCAAATCATAAGGACAGAGAAAAATATCTTGCATATCCCCATATGAGTAATAGATGCCTTGAAAAAATAAAGACCAGAGAAATTAAAATTATTAAAACCATAAGATTTTGCACACTCCTGATTTCAGGGAAARTAACTTTCTCGCTTAGAATTATTCTGATGCCTTGCAATGCAGCTAAATATGAATTTTCTACCAGACACATCTAAATCATGTGTCTTACATTGCTTATTATTAGTTTAACTGGAATCTGTAATTTGACATGCAATTTTCAGCATGATCACTTTTACAAGTAAACAGTAAGGAACTGTAGAAATTCAGATACAAAATAACAATAACAGCAGCAGTAACAATGCACAAAATAGCATTTCATCAATAACACACTTCAGAGTGRGAATTTTCTACCCATTGAATATAAGGAGCATTTAGACTCATCTCTGAAACAGTATATTTAACAAAAGGTGGATAAAATGGGGACAAAGGCAAGGAAAAAAACTGGGTAGCATTTAAGTTCTGGACATCTTAGCTCACTTTCCATGCACATGACTCAGCATTGCTGTATTTGCTTATTAAAAAAAAATAAATCATGCCCAAATTTGTTTTAACTTTTCTCTAAACAGGAGAGAGTATTTATGGTAAGCATATAATTGATGGTTATGAAATGACGAGACCGTTTAGACAGATGTCTGACTTTCCATGGACATTTTTTCTCCAGGAGAAATAAGAAAGGCCTGCAGCTTTAGCTGTCTTTTCTGAATTTATGGTGGCAGAACTGTCCATATGGATTWGTGTCATCTGCCCTTTTAGCAAAGTATCGGTGCCTTTAAGGCTTTCAATGATAAATTATCTATGTGAAGGGATGATTCCATGTTGACCTACTGATTGTTTTTTCTATTAAGATAAAATCAAATGAGGATTCTCTCMAAAAATGCAATTTTATTTAAGATCATTATCAAAACAATCCACTAAAAATATTATATGATTAGTAATCTACAGATTGCCTCTAGAAATGGTAAGGTCTTCCAAAAAAAGCTAGCCTAAAAGGAACTGACATGGCAAGTATGTTATTACTGCWGCTGTGATACTTGGGAAAAATCACCAAAGCCATCTTGAACCAGAGCTGGGATGTGGAATGCACTGAAATGGAGCAAGYTGCAGTTAGCAATAGATTTGTCCATTACAGAAGCATTTAAAAACTGAAATAATGTAGTAAATACATGTACCCTTTAGAAAAAAAGTAAAAAAGGAGAGAAGAATAGCAGTGGTCAAATAACTTGCTCACTGGCTCAGCATCTGCAGTTAAGCAACATAGACAAAATTCTTTTCCCATAAAGAGATCCTATGAGCAGATGCATTTCAGAGGATACTGTTAGGAACATCCTGTGGAAGCACCAAGCTCACAGGTTCAGACTGATGATCCAATGTAAACTCAGGCACTTGAACAGGCCAGCTGCATGGTAGTGCATGTGCTATTTCATACCCAATGCAAATGCAATAAAATTAATTCATTAGCATGGATAATATTTCGTTAAAGGATGAAAGGGTCAGAGTGGATGGTTGYGTGCTACTCCCTTTTCCTAGCAAAGAAACATAAGTTACTCTAAGAAGGAATGACAAATTAAATGCCTATCAATTTCTGGTAATGCAGGAAAGACCATCAGCTGCTGTCTGGAAGTAACAGCGAATATAAAATATATGAGATTAGCAGAAGCTTTTCCTGCTCTGTTTGACTAGTTGCTCTCCATTTCTACTAAGAGATAAAAGAACAAAGAATCTCATAACATAGGATTTTTGAAATACTACAGGGGRAAAAAAGAAAAAAGAGAAACAAAATCTATTAATTACAGATTTTCATCAGCCCTGGATTAGAGGGCCCATCTTCTTTGAAGGTTCTAATTCACTGAAAGCAATAAGTACTAGTGCTACAAATAAGAAGAACGAACGTAAAACTGGGTTAAATTGACTATTACCATTTTCCAAGTAATACTTCAAACTACAGAACAGCTAATATTCTTTTAATAATTTATCTCTTTGCATTTTGTCTTCCCATAAGCACCCAGTTAAACAGAAGTGGATAAATTAACTTAAGTTCTCTGCACCTTCCATTAAAAGCAGCATGCTTAAGAACTTGTGAATGAAGGAATACAAACCCAAAACATACATCAATATTTTGATTTTTAACGTTCCTATCTTCCAAAAATTACATTTTCAATTTTTTTTTTTTTGGTTTATCAAAATACATAAAAAACATTTAAAACTAAGAAAAATAATGCAACAGTGTGGAGACTATCTAAACAGCAGGTATTTATATTTGAAAACTTACAATTTCCCATTATGAGGTTGTCTATAATAAATGAACAGTCATTGCTCAAGCTGCACTACACTAAACAATAAACTGAAGAAGCCTAATATGATCTCATTTTATGTCTCCAGCAGCTGACACATCCTATGGAATTCATGGTATATACTGAGAGTGAGCAGAAATACTTTGTTTAGTTTTCAGACATATAAGCAAAGGGATACACATCCCAAGGTAYTGTTTTGACTTCATGCTGATGTACCAGGGCACATAAATTGAAAGAAATAGGTTTTTATTTAAATTGATTTACATTGCCAGCTGACTTKCATTCTTACACTGAAAGGAAATATAAATGTTATTTATGCCCATAATAGTGATATAATAATGAGTTGAATTACTACAGGCATCAATCTTGTACACTTTCCTTTTCTGAGATTCAGATTAAAAACCAACAAATGCAATTTTTTTAAATAAATCAAACCATGCCTTCTGATATGATTGCTATTATTATTGCTTATAAATAGTTATTTATATCAAGCAAAATACAGATATTAGCCATGTACCTTCTATATAAAAACAGGCTGGTTTTCACCTTGGAATTTATGATGAGAGTGTTGGCAGTCAGAAAGTGTTGGGAGGGAGGAAGGGAGGCAGGCTGGCAGGCAGGAAGGAAGGAAGGAAGGAAGGGAAAGGGGAAGACAAGGAACAACTAAACATGGAAGTTTAGATGCAATTTTATTAATGACCTTTAACTTGCAGGCTGAAGGAAGTAAAGTTTATGAGCAGTGCATAAGGAGAGTCTCAAGAAGTGGCCTGTAAATCTGATATTTGACAAATAAATCAGAGACAATCACTGCTCTGTTATTAACACTTTTCATTATTACTCACAATAAGCTTGAGATTGYTGGCATCASAGAAGTTTTAAAATGRAAAAAAAATTAATWTCTTAAATCAATCAGCTAAATTARTATCTTAAATCAATCAGCTACTACTCTTCGTAGACATTCACCCTGAACTTGACAGAAAGCAGACAAGACCTTCACTGTTTTCCCATTCCTCACAACCTGAACAGTCATTTATATATAAAAATGCATTCAGTGATCTAGTTAGCATCATTTTCCTTCCTGAAAAAAACCTTCAATTGAATGCAGCACAGTTCTGTAGAAAATTTACATTTTCATGTACATGCTTTATGTATTAAAGGCATCTGAAAACGAATCTTACCACTGCAGCTGGAACTTGAGGCATTTTTGCCGCTGGGGTTCCTGGGCGTGGGTAGAATTGATTAATAAACAAGCTTGGAAACCTGTACAGTTCTACAAGTTTCATTGTTTCTTGAAAATCTTCATCTGTCTCTCCAGGAAAACCACAAATTATGTCTGTAGCAATTGTTATTCCAGGCACTCTGTAAAGAAAGTAGAAAGAAACACTTAAATTAAGACCTGTAAAAATCTTGCTCCCTTAAAAGCGAGTGTACATAGACTTACAGCCTTCAGCTTCACCTACAGAAATTGAGACCTAAAAGGATCTTTGGGAAAAAAAAAAAATATTTTAACACCATTGCGCGATAATGAAAAATGCATTTGGTGCTCAGCTGAGAGCACAAGGAGTAGGAGATACTCTGGGTGCAGCAAATACTGGATTAGGATTGTGACAGAGWGTGAAAACATCTGGATCAACACTTCTGTCATTCAAAATTAGAGGTAAWCAGCAGACCTTGTTATTTCTTGAATTCTGATTGCTCAATTAATAAAATGTGAACCTTTTGAGACTTAGACACTAGACAATGTCAACTATTTAATGTTTTATAATAYATCTGTTGAAGTAGAATGGTGTATATGAAAGAGGGGAGTGGCATGTCATACAACATAGCAAATTTGAACAAAATTGGCTTAGGAGCCAAAAATACATCTTTAGTCACAAGTAATTTCTAACTCAGTATTCTAAAACACCAGCCTATGCTTTGTTTTAAAAGGAAAATGAAACACATAAGTTCAGAAATGCAGAGGCACTGAGTTTTCCTATTATTTAACCAAGATCAGCATTTCCTAACTTGCATTGAATATGCAGAATCCCTACACAGATAAGGTTAAGAGAGCACAGCCCAGAGACATAGAATGCACAGAAGAGGGTGAAGTAAGGGGGCCTCAGCTGAAATTGTGTCACCATTACAGTTTTGGACAGGGCAGGAACATACCATGAACACTTTCCCCAACAGATGCTGGAGCAGCCACCAAGGCTTGCACCTGGACTGAACTTCAAATGGTGGATGCAGACCTCCAAGCTCCAGGCAGTGCCTGGGGTCTCTCTCTGATGCCAGGAGAAACAGCCCTCTCTCCTGCTGGAGCAGGGGTCTTTAAGAGAAGCTGCTCCTCCAAGTGGAGTTACAGGAGACTGTGCAGCATCAGTGATGAAAAGGGGATGGCAGTGCCAGGTTAAAGGTTGGGCTTCTTGATGACCTTAGAGGTCTTTTCCAACCTATGATTCTCTGCAACTCAACAGTCTGAAGAGCCTCAGCCCCTTGATCTACAGTAGAGAAGCATGTAAAGTGAACCCCCACTACACCAAGGAAAGCAAGAGCTCTGSAGAGGGGAAGGATGGAAGCTGGTGTCTTCTGACAAGAAAGATCTCCACCAACTAAAGCCTTGCAGCTGCAAAATATGGCCATTAGCCTCAAAGCTTAATTGGAGACAGATGTGCTGACAAGCAAAGTATGTGGTCCCCCTAAACCACACAAAGCTAGCAAGAAGAAATCACTGCAGTGGGTGACTCCCTGCTCTGGCAGACAGAGGCACCCATCTGTTAACACAACCACCCATGTAGAGAGTTTTGCTGTCTGACAGGATCCAAGGTGCTCTGGGGCTCATCTGGTCCTTTGACTACCACTCACTGCTGTTATTCCATTGGGAACACATGATCTTGCCAGTGGAAGCCTGGGCAGTATTAAAATGACCACAGAGCTCTGGCAGTAGTCAAGGGCATGAGGGCTCAAGTGGTGTGCTCCTCATCAGAACTGAGGATGACTATGCATTGGCACATCTTGTCCTGGGAGCTTGAGGAGTCTCCCTCCATGCAATGTCTTCAAAAGCCATCTGGTAATGGTCCTGTGACACTGGATCTAGGTAGCACTGCTTGAGCAAGGGGGTTGGAAAAAATGACTTCCCTAGGACCCTCCCAACCTTGGCCCTTCTGTGTTTGTGTGACATGGCCCAAAAAAAGCCCTGCAGCCAAGAGATAAACACTGCATAGCATTTAGAGTACTCTCTGTGACGCAGGAGTCACCAACTCGGTTTTCCAAATCTGACACCAGTCAGCTGCATGACCACTGCCTTGGGAGAAACTGAGAGGCCACAGCCCTGTTTTGTATTCAGCCTGCTTGAGTAGAGTGGGAATAACGCAGAGAGGCAGAAATATACAGTACTCAGTGCTCCCTCCTGACACAGATGTTTCTACAATGCAGAGTTGACTCTACACTGTCTGTAACAATGATCAACTGGAGAAAATGTGACTTATGGAGAAAAGTAAGAACTCTGTAAAGATATTGGTGATGTCTGACTTAGAACTAGCCCTCTTTCAAGTAGGGGGAGAGATGTCTTCCAGAGGTCCCTTCCAACCTAAATAATTCTACAGCTCCTATGTAGGCTACAGGCAAGGGAACAGCAGAGAGAGATTGTTTTGGGGGTAAATGGTATAAAAACAACTGTCACAAGCGAAGTTCACATCTGGGTTTAAGAAGATGTCTCCAGGACTGTATCTAACATACAGAAATGAATGGAAGGCTTCTCTCCCCCTCATCAGGATAAAGCAATGCAGAACTGTCAATGTCAATGCAAAATACATTTTGGAGTATTTGAACAGCCACAGAAAATTGTAATTTCTTATTAGACAGCACATAAAAAGAGAAAGAAAATAATGCTGTGGTTGTAGTGAGTGAAGAAATTGAAGTTTGAATATCGGAAAGAAAAATCTCCTGAAAGAAGAATTTCCTGAAACAATGAGTTTGACTGGAAAAAGAGAATCTGTTGGCAAAAGACCCAAGAAAAGGGAAGCAGAGAATACTGTTCTTAGTAATTTGATTAGGTGTAATATTAGAGCATAAAAGACAAAAGTCTTCATACAATCATATATGGTAGTGAGTTTTTCTTATTTTGTGATTCTTTTTCTAAACTCAAACATTGCCAATATTTTAAGTATTGGCAATGAGCTTATATTAAATTGAATGTCTTGTCCCCTTTTTAACATGTGTCTGCATATATAAATAGCAGCATGGGAATTTTTTTGATATGTTATTAGAATCTTCTACATTTTCCTTATGAAAAATCCCCACTAAAGAAACCAACTTGTATCAATTCCTTTTGAGCTCATAAATTCATACTCCATGATCTGAGATGTARTTAAAAGATGGCATTTCAATGACAAATCCAAACCAGTATAAACTCGATCCAATAACCCTAAGTGGGAAACACAACCTGGATACTGTGCAGAACAGCAGAAACCCCCAGAACTGTTGGCTCAACACCTCCAGTTAACATTGCTTGCTTAAGGCTGACAAACATCAAGATATGAACTTCTGCCTCATACCAAGTAACAACACAATTCCTTAACTTCAAGGACCACGTGAAGAGAGCAGCAGTGTATCCTGCAGCGTGATCCTGTTCATACCACAAATACCTTGTGCAGCAGTGGTAAGCTCACAGAAGAAAGGGTACAATAATTTATAAACCAATGCCACCTAACATCAGCTGCCACTTCTCAGAATGGGAACAGAGCATTCATTACATTTGACAAACCATTATAATGAAGTTATTTTATTCATTTTAATGACACTATTGGCAACAGTCAAAGCATTTATTACCAATGGTAGTAGTAATACCATCCTTTATAAAGGCCTGGTTGTTTCTATAGCAACATGAATTATAAGGTCCAATCAAGCTAGATACAATAAAATATGCTCTTTTTCTCCATAACACCAGTTGTCATTCAGTTAAAAGGAAATTACATATTTTAAAAATTCATAAACTCTACAAATGTCTGAACTCCATTTGCTGATAAGGTGTTAATTATCTTAGTAATTAGATTTCTTCCTGGATGGAATTATTACACACAAAGAAAAGCCTGGGTACAAAAAGAGAATAAGGACCACAGTGTATTCAGCAACAGCAAATTAATTACAGTTCAATCCAGTGTAACTGCCTAAAATATGATATTGCATAGTGCATTTTTATATCACTGCAGATTATATTGCTAAACAAGAAGTTTTAAAAGGAGAGAAAAGCATGAGATATTACCCAGAATAAAATCCAAAATGACAAAAAATCAAGCTCTTACGACTTTTTCAAAGCAGTGATGAACAAAAATATGTACAATTAGTTCCACATGCGGAACATAATTTCTTAATAAAAAAAGAGGGGGGGGGGAAGATATAATTATGGAAAAATATAGAACACATACACACTTGAAAATTAAAGTGACCTTTTCCCTGACAGCCTGAAAGAAAGCAGCACAAGATTCTTCATTACATAGATTCAGATGATGTTTAAGAATTGCCCCAGCTGTGAAAYATGATCCAAAATCACACAGAAACAAGGTCTTGTGCATCAGCCAATATTTTTTTTTAACATGAAATGCTGCTTATCTATTCTGAAGCAAACAAAGAAAAAACTGCTGAACATTCCCTGTAACATTTATTACATGAACACATTTACAGTTGATCTAAATATTCAGTTTCCACTAATGTTTTCTAGGGTGTAAGAGAGAAGCCTGACAATACATGCTGACTCTTAATTGGAACATTTTACATTAAAACTGTGGAATTTCAGAAAAAGATGAGTCAGAGGAATAACCAATGCCATGCAWAAGATAATATAGCCCTAATACTTAGGGTTCCTGAATATTCTCTTCTCTTCTTGTTCCTCTACATACATAAATTCCTTCCATCTACTCACACATGATGTTTTGCCACTCTGAGCTAGACCAACAATGCAAACAYCAATTGTCTTGGGCAATTCTGACCACCCAAAAAGAAGCAACTACTTCACCTTACAGTGTGATGCTGTAAGGACCWACACACCCAGGAACAAGTGCTGAGAGCACGGGTATCCAGTCCGCACAGAAAGGAAGAACAAGATGTGTTTGAAAGAATACAGAAGAAACATCCTACCCAYGCCTAAAGAGGAATAAAGTCATCCTCTGGGTCACAGAAAAAATTCAGACCCAAGGAAGAGAGTGATGCCTGGAAGTCAAGTCATGGACAAGTAACTTAGAAAGGAGATAAAAGTGTGAAGTTTTCAAAAATAAAATAGTAAAACCAGTCCCCACCCTCATTTTCATGGAGAAGTATTTCTAAGAAAAGCAGCAGAAAAAATGTGAAAATTTCTAGGATTCACTTGTTACATGGACCATTTC